ACGTCATTGACAGATAACATAACTACATCCTGCTCTTGCCTATTGAATAAGTCTGAAACTATTTCCTTCTTAATTGTTACCATATTGGAACTGCTATTGAAATCATAGTCCAAGACTTCTGAACTATCCATATAGAAATAACTGTCCATTGTTTTCTGTGTCTATGACATTCAATACAATTGTTCGCGATACATAATGACCTTGATATTAAAACCAAGATGATTTGCTTCCATTTTCTAACTTCCAAATCTATATATGACAAATGTCGGCAAGATCGGTTTAGAAAAATTGCTTATTTTTTGACAACTTCACACTACCATACGGCGAAGTAATAAAAATTAGGAATGCATTATGTTAAAGATAATACCCGGGGAAGGGGCCCCGACCCACTGAAGTCCACACTTATCTAAATGAGCCACAGAAATCTCAGCTAATACTTTTGCTTTGTCAATATGTAATTTTGGATTTCGTTTTGCGGTTCTGATCGTTAAAATTTGGGTTTTTATTTTAACTGAAAGACGTAGCAGCAAAATTGCTGTTGGTTTACCTCCCAATTTTCAATAACCTTTACCTATCTATTTCTCTAAATTTTAAAGCAATTTGAAAAATATCACACAGACAGGGTTCTTTAGGGGGATTTTCTGCAACTCAAGATACAATTTGCTACTTAACATTTTTTTTGTTAAATATTGGCTTTTTCAGATGGTAACCATCTAATGAACTAGTGTAAAAAATACCATTATTTGCCAAGTAAATTTTAATTATGCCACATAAATGGTTCTAATACAGGTTCTGTATAGGTTCTGCAGGATTATCCTTTTGCCCATTAGACACATAATGGGCAGATTTGTGCCGATACTATGAAGTCATTTGAGATTAGCAGGTAATCATGTACAGCAGGTTGAAGCTTTTATATAAATATTGTTTAATGATGATAGTAGGTGATTCTGAAAGAATATTCCAATGAAATTTTAAAGGGACCATGTGTAAATTACATGGTTTTAAAGCAGGTAAATGTTCAAATGATATATGTTGAAGACATCATTGGCATCATTGAGAAGACTTAATGCTTATCAGCTAAGGCTGTACGTTTACCACTTTTCAGAAAGAAAATCAGACGTTTGACTAGTCTACAATATTATAAAACGCGGTGGTATAAGTTACCAATTAGTGGAGTTATAGTGATATCTGGAAGAAAGTATACAAATTAATAGCATCTTATTATGCCGTGACTTCTGCCCATAACGTGGGCCTTTCATAACGAGAATAATTCTGTGATACAGCCTAGACCACAAACAAGAAGAACATCAAGGACAAACTCGTAGGAATAAGGGTACCCTGATGGCGTGCTATGACTTAAACTATTTCTCACAGATTGCGTCGTGGCTTTAAGCTAATTTCAATGGCTGTATTGTAACCTTTTCCGCTATAGACACGATTCAATCGGAATCGCGATTGCAACAGAAATGGCAATAATTTGGACATAACTTTTACTACAGTATATTAAAGATAAACTCCTGTCATATAGTAATCCAGAACAAAAACGCCTTAATAGCGTGCTATCTATGAATTTAGCATTTTTTCTCAGACTTCCTTCGTATATTTCCTTTAATATTAACCACTTTTATTGTTTGCTTTGTCATAATGTTGTGAAGTCGTGTTTGTAAGAAGTTGACTTAATAAGACTTTTCCGTGGTGTGGCGGATGGATTGTTCGTTTTATAAATCAGTTAGTAACGACGTTTGCTTGCATATTATCTGGTACTTAAGATCCTACGAAGAAGTTATTTAGTGAAAATCAATTTCCTTCTAAGACTCATTGAAATAGATTATAAATTAATTCTCAAAACTAGTTTAGAGAGTCGGGTTGTACCTATAACACTATATTTCACGAAAGTCCTCCCACACAGACAATATACGAAAAGTAGCTAAATAATAAAACTGCAAAAAAACAATAAAATAAAAATAAATAAAATAGAGTAAAAATAAACTCATCATAGTTGACCGAAAAAGTACAAAATAACGAGGTTTACGTCCTACTTTTCTGCTTTTATTTAGGCTACTGAAGGACAGGACCATGCAGTGTTTTAAGGATTAAAATTTGCCAGTACATCAGCGTAAGTTTGCTATTTACGAATTCAATCTGTCGGTGAATTATTAATGCCTGTTGCATGAAGCGCAAACTGTACCACATAGGGCAAAGAATTATTGAATTGTAGCGATAAGGACCATAATTCAGAATTTAAGATGAAACTCCAGCTAGCTAATTTCTGTAGTTGTCACCTTTCTGTGATTTAAACTTGGTTGATAAGAATTCAATCAAATTTGCAAGAGAAACGGAAATAATTTGAAAAGATGCGTTGGAGTTCATTAAGGAAAGATAAATCAAAATAAGATACTGTTGCGTCTAAAATTAAATTGTTATGGTAATAAAATATACAAATATACCATTTTAGCGTGGGGATCATTAATAACGTATGTTTTGTGTTAGATATTTGAAGATTAATTAATTACGTGTATTCTCTATGGAATGATAACGCCCATAATTCATCATTCAATTTTATCGACCTGAAACAAGTCAGAAAAGGAGAAGAGTTGATGTCATCAGTTTAATTAGTAGTTAACATGCCGACTTGTAGATTATTTTGAAGAACGCCATTAAATGGAGTATAGTATAGACATTGTACACACACACACATGCACTAGAATGTCCTACTTTCGTTTGAGCTTCACGTGGGTCAATAGTACCCATGCGATCAACAGCGTGAATTAGCTATTTCATTATATTGCATTGTTCTCGACGTACGACAAATACTTTCTTCGAAATCGCACACATCTTTGTACACTAGTTTTCGTTGGAGCATTCCTTCCAGCTTTAAGTACATAACATTTATGCCAGTAAGCAATTCCTTACAGATTACAGTAAACCACTCTTCTTCTAGTAGTTCGTGGCCCTGATTGCAGTAAATTGGCATTTTCACTCAGTACGCATTTTCCTTATCTTGGCGTTCAATAGCATTCTGCTGTACAGCACATTTTTACTGGTACATTGAGCATCATCTAGTTAGTATTCCATTGTTATGATTTTTATATAGCCTACGCCAATCAGATCTCTGTAAAATCTTGCATCCAAACGCCATGAAGCCAGTAAGAGTTATATCCCATCTGGCTTCAACCTTTGTTTGGCGTTCGATTACAGTGGCTTATGAATCAGAACTTTGTCAATAATAAATTTAGTTACCTGGATTGAAATATCAACTTCAAATACTTCTGGTAGATTAAGAATGTGATTCCGCGACCCACTGTTTAAAACAATGGTTTTCAAACTGGAAGTAATGCAATCGTTCAAGCATCCTCAAAAAGGTTTTGAAAAAAACTGGTTTGAAATTAAATATCTCGTTCGGAATGCGATTCCTGGTCGTTTCCATTCCACAAAATATAAGTAACAAAAGAAGATTCAAAGCGCATCCCGGTTTGTGGCGCTATGTAGCTACCCACTTCCCAAAGCGCAACCCTCTCGCATGTACGGTTTGCCTACAGTAGCGGTTTTAGTTTGACCTATGAAAACCCAAAAAATCGACCAAAATCGGCAATTTTTAGTCATTTTGATCAGGAAAAATTTCAAAGATGGACACAAAAATTTTTTTATTTTTTTTTTGAGTGAAATCGATTTGGGGGGACCGAGGGAGATTGAAAATTCGATTTAAAGATGTTTCCTGCATTTTGGCGAAAAACTATAGACGAAAGACGGAAAAAATCGGGTTTAATTTGTGGAATAAATGGCCAAACTAAAACCGCTACTATAGGCAAACCGTACATGCGAGAGGGTGCGCTTTGGGGGGTAGCCAACTCGTGGCGCTACAAGGCTGTTTGGAAATTCGATTTAAAGATGTTTGCTGCATTTTGGCGAAAAACTAGAGAGGAAAGACGGAAAAAATCGGGTTTAATTTATGGAATAAAAGGCCAATTTCTAGCTCCTGTAACTTGGGAACCAAGTCAGATACAGCATCCCGGTTTGTGGGGGCTACCCACCCCCCAAAGCGCAACTCTCTCGCATGTACGGTTGGCCTACAATAGCGGTTTTAGTTTGGCCTATGAAAACAGAAAAAATCGACCAAAATCGGCCATTTTTTAGTCATTTTGATCAGGAAAAATTTCAAAGTTGGACCCAAAAAAAATTTTCTTTTTTTGACTGAAATCGATTTGGGGGGACCGAGGGAGATTGGAAATTCGATTTAAAGATGTTTGCTGCATTTTGGCGAAAACCTAGAGGCGAAAGACGGAAAAAATCGGGTTTAATTTATGGAATAAAAGCCCAATTTCTAGCTCCTGTAACTTGGGAACCAAGTCAGATACAGCATCCCGGTTTGTGGCGCCATGTAGCGCTACGAGTTGGCTACCCACCCCCCAAAGCGCAACTCTCTCGCATGTACGGTTTGCCTACAGTAGCGGTGTTAGTTTGGCCTATGAAAACCGAAAAAATCGGCCATTTTTTAGTCATTTTGATCAGGAAAAATTTCGAAGTTGGACCCAAAAAAAAATTTCTTTTTTTTGACTGAAATCGATTTGGGGGGACCGAGGGAGATTGGAAATTCGATCGAAAAACTAGAGACGAAAGACGGAAAAAATCGGGTTTAATTTATGGAATAAAAGGCCAATTTCTAGCTCCTGTAACTTGGGCATCCTAGTTTGTGGCGCCATGTAGCGCCACGAGTTGGCTACCCACCCCCCAAAGCGCAACTCTCTCGCATGTACGGTTTGCCTACAGTAGCGGTTTTAGTTTGGCCTATGAAAACCGACAAAATCGACCAAAATCGGCCATTTTTTAGTCTTTTTGATCAGGAAAATTTTCAAAGTTGGACCCAAAAAAAAATTTCTTTTTTTTGACTGAAATCGATTTGGGGGGACCGAGGGAGATTGGAAATTCGATCGAAAAACTAGAGACGAAAGTCGGAAAAAATCGGGTTTAATTTATGGAATAAAAGGCCAATTTCTAGCTCCTGTAACTTGGGAACCAAGTCAGATACAGCATCCCGGTTTGTGGCGCCATGTAGCGCCACGAGTTGGCTACCCACCCCCCAATGCGCAACTCTCTCGCATGTACGGTTGGCCTACAGTAGCGGTTTTAGTTTGGCCTATGAAAACCGAAAAAATCGACCAAAATCGGCCATTTTTTAGTCATTTTGATCAGGAAAAATTTCAAAGTGATGAGTTGTGTTTAAAAGCAGTTCACTCTGTGTTTGAAATCTATTCACTATCAATAATCTACTAATTTAGATGATTTAAGTGATGAGTCCTGTTTAAAAACAGTTCACTCTACTGAGTAGTGTTTGAAATCTACTCACTATAAATAATCTACTAATTTAGATGATTTAAGTGATGAGTCCTGTTTAAAAACAGTTCACTCTACTGAGTAGTGTTTGAAATCTACTCACTATCAATAATCTACTAATTTAGATGATTTAAGTGATGAGTTGTGTTTAAAAACAGTTCACTCAACTGAGTAGTGTTTGAAATCTACTCACTATCAATAATCTACTAATTTAGATGATTTAAGTGATGAGTCCTGTTTAAAAACAGTTCCCTCTACTGAGTTGTGTTTGAAATCTACTCACTATCAATAATCTACTAATTCAGATGATTTAAGTGATGAGTCCTGTTTAAAAACAGTTCCCTCTACTGAGTAGTGTTTGAAATCTACTCACTATCAATAATCTACTAATTCAGATGTTTTAAGTGATGAGTTGTGTTTAACAACAGTTCACTCTACTGAGTAGTGTTTGAAATCTACTAACTATCAATAATCTACTAATTTAGATGATTTAAGTGATGAGTCCTGTTTAAAAACAGTTAAAAACATCTATTCATTATCAATAATCTACTAATTCAGATGATTTAAGTGATGAGTCCTGTTTAAAAACAGTTCCCTCAACTGAGTAGTGTTTGAAATCTACTCACTATCAATAATCTACTAATTTATATGATTTAAGTGATGAGTGGTGTTTAAAAACAGTTCACTCTACTGAGTAGTGTTTGAAATCTACTCACTATCAATAATCTACTAATTTATATGATTTAAGTGATGAGTTGTGTTTAAAAACAGTTCACTCTACTGAGTAGTGTTTGAAATCTACTCACTATCAATAATCTACCAATTCAGATGATTTAAGTGATGAGTCGTGTTTAAAAACAGTTCACTCTACTGAGTAGTGTTTGAAATCTACTCACTATCAATAATCTACTAATTTATATGATTTAAGTGATGAGTGGTGTTTAAAAACAGTTCACTCAACTGAGTCGTGTTTGAAATCTACTCACTAACAATAATCTACTAATTCAGATGATTGAAGTGATGAGTTGTGTTTAAAAACAGTTCACTCTACTGAGTAGTGTTTGAAATCTACTCACTATCAATAATCTACTAATTTAGATGATTTAAGTGATGAGTTGTGTTTAAAATCAGTTCACTCTACTGAGTCGTGTTTGAAATCTACTCACTATCAATAATCTATTAATTCAGATGATTTAAGTGATGAGTCCTGTTTAAAAACAGTTCCCTCAACTGAGTAGTGTTTGAAATCTACTCACTATCAATAATCTACTAATTTATATGATTTAAGTGATGAGTGGTGTTTAAAAACAGTTCACTCTACTGAGTAGTGTTTGAAATCTACTCACTATCAATAATCTACTAATTTATATGATTTAAGTGATGAGTTGTGTTTAAAAACAGTTCACTCTACTGAGTAGTGTTTGAAATCTACTCACTATCAATAATCTACTAATTTATATGGTTTAAGTGATGAGTCGGGTTTAAAAACAGTTCACTCTACTGAGTAGTGTTTGAAATCTACTCACTATCAATAATCTACTAATTTATATGATTTAAGTGATGAGTCGTGTTTAAAAACAGTTCACTCTACTGAGTAGTGTTTGAAATCTACTCACTATCAATAATCTACTAATTTATATGATTTAAGTGATGAGTCGTGTTTAAAAACAGTTCACTCTACTGAGTAGTGTTTGAAATCTACTCACTATCAATAATCTACTAATTTATATGATTTAAGTGATGAGTCGTGTTTAAAAACAGTTCACTCTATTGAGTAGTGTTTGAAATCTACTCATTATCAATAATCTACCAATTCAGATGATTTAAGTGATGAGTTGTGTTTAAAAACAGTTCACTCAACTGAGTAGTGTTTGAAATCTATTCACTATCATTAATCTACTAATTTATATGATTTAAGTGATGAGTCGTGTTTAAAAACAGTTCACTCTACTGAGTAGTGTTTGAAATCTACTCACTATCAATAATCTACTAATTTATACGTTAAAAATGATGAGTGGTGTTCAAAAAGAGTTCATCCCTACTGAGTAGTGTTTGAAATCTACTCACTATCAATAATCTACTAATTCAGATGATTTAAGTGATGAGTTGTGTTTAAAAACAGTTCACCCTACTGAGTAGTGTTTGAAATCTATTCACTATCATTAATCTACTAATTTAGATGATTGAAGTGATGAGTTGTGTTTAAAAACAGTTCAGCCTACTGAGTAGTGTTTGAAATCTACTCATTATCAATAATCTACTAATTTATATGGTTTAAGTGATGAGTCCTGTTTAAAACAGTTCACTCTACTGAGTCGTGCTTGAAATCTACTCACTATCAATAATCTACCAATTTATACGTTTTAAGTGATGAGTTGTGTTTAAAAATAGTTCAGCCTACTGAGTAGTGTTTGAAATCTACTCACTATCAATAATCTACCAATTTATACGTTTTAAGTGATGAGTCCTGTTTAAAAACAGTTCCCTCTACTGAGTAATGTTTGAAATCTATTCACTATCATTAATCTACTAATTCAGATGATTGAAGTGATGAGTTGTGTTCAAAAACAGTTCCCTCTACTGAGTAGTGTTTGAAATCTATTCACTATCAATAATCTACTAATTTATATGGTTTAAGTGATGAGTTGTGTTTAAAAACAGTTCACTCAACTGAGTAGTGTTTGAAATCTATTCACTATCATTAATCTACTAATTTATATGATTGAAGTGATGAGTTGTGTTTAAAAACAGTTCAGCCTACTGAGTAGTGTTTGAAATCTACTCATTATCAATAATCTACTAATTTATATGGTTTAAGTGATGAGTTGTGTTTAAAACAGTTCCCTCTACTGAGTAGTGTATGTATTCTACTCACTATCAATAATCTACTAATTTAGATGATTGAAGTGATGAGTTGTGTTCAAAAACAGTTCCCTCTACTGAGTAGTGTTTGAAATCTATTCACTATCAATAATCTACTAATTCAGATGATTTAAGTGATGAGTTGTGTTTAAAATCAGTTCACTCTACTGAGTAGTGTTTGAAATCTACTCACTATCAATAATCTACTAATTTATATGGTTTAAGTGATGAGTTGTGTTTAAAATCAGTTCACTCTACTGAGTAGTGTTTGAAATCTACTCACTATCAATAATCTACTAATTTATATGATTTAAGTGATGAGTTGTGTTTAAAAACAGTTCACTCTACTGAGTAGTGTTTGAAATCTACTCACTATCAATAATCTACTAATTTATATGATTTAAGTGATGAGTTGTGTTTAAAATCAGTTCATTCTACTGAGTAGTGTTTGAAATCTACTCACTATCAATAATCTACTAATTTATATGATTTAAGTGATGAGTCGGGTTTAAAAACAGTTCACTCTACTGAGTAGTGTTTGAAATCTACTCACTATCAATAATCTACTAATTTATATGATTTAAGTGATGAGTCGTGTTTAAAAACAGTTCACTCTACTGAGTAGTGTTTGAAATCTACTCACTATCAATAATCTACTAATTTATATGATTTAAGTGATGAGTCCTGTTTAAAAACAGTTCACTCTACTGAGAAGTGTTTGAAATCTACTCACTATCAATAATCTACTAATTTATATGATTGAAGTGATGAGTTGTGTTTAAAATCAGTTCACTCTACTGAGTCGTGTTTGAAATCTACTTACTGTTTATAATCTACCAAATTATACAATTTTAGTGATGAGATGTGTTTAAAAACAGTTTATATTGGCAGTCTTGACAAAAAATCCATTTATTGCAAAATGCATGGCGTTTGCTGTCTTCATTAGCCTAATTGGAAACGTAAACACCATTTAATTTCAACTAGAAATTTATAATAATAAATAATAAAACAATGCATCGGATCAGAAACGAAAAATATACTTTATTTCGTGATGGAATAAATGATCACAAAAATGATATAATGTGGACTTAATTTAAAACTTAGAATCTTAACAATTAACGTTCATTTGACAATAAAATAAGACGTTTCGCTATTTGTAAAATGAATACAGTCGATTAAACATTTGTTCTATAAACTGACAGCTGAATGCAGAATTTAAAATCAAGCTATCGGTGTCACTACAATTCAACTAAACACACCCTGGTGGTTATTGTTGCAACTTTCGGATCGTCATAAGTATTCTCAAGTGCAGTTATTAAAGATCATTTAATCTTACAACAAAAGCGTGTCATGTTGAGCCCCTTTTTGATAACATAACAAATTGTGGGATAGCGAAACCCAAAGTATGGCGATATGAAAGCCTTCATTTTGGTTCGCTATCCCACAATTCGTGATTGTTTTTCAAGGAACGAGTTTAACATGAAGCGCTATGAACTGGACTGTGGTAGAAAACTAGTTATATAGATTACAACACAGAAAAAATATCAGAAGAAAAGACACAAAATAGTAATCTAATTTTAATTAGATTAGGCGCACATACCATACAGAAATATACATTTTTTTTTTACATCAAAATGGTCTTTAATGTGAGTAATTCATTGCAAAATCCAAAATGAAATTTGATTTATCTTTCGGATAACTAAAAAAAAAATTGATATTCTTTATCTTTTGATGAAAATCAATAACCAATAAATATAAACCAGGTTATTTCTTTTAATTCTGTGGCACAACCGAAATAAAAATCCTTCTGCTCAGTAACAGTTCTTAAAAATCCCATTTCTTGGATCTGATGATTCATTTACTATTAGATTTCTCAAGAAAAACAATTTGTCAGTAAGGTGATAGATGAATTTATTACATGAATATTTTAAAAGCTAGAAAATGGACGAGAATCAGCTTAGAGTTCTTTATCGAAATCGTCGGCATGTTGCACAGCATCCACTGGTATAGGAGCGTGAAAAAGCACAACATGAACAAGCAGAATTGACAAAATTGGTGACAGCTAGCGAATTTTCTCCTCTTTTTCCACGTCGACCATAACACATCATACAGCAATTAGAATTAAAACTGTGTAAACAACATTGACAATCTAATGCCGATCCTCTTTTATCAGCATGCTGTTCTGCTGGTTTCGTTTGGTCTTGTGAGAAAGCTTCATCATCGTCAATCCACACTGCACTCTTTACTAAACCAATAATTACCAAGCAGATGAACTGTATCAATATTAACTTAAAATTCATCTGCAAATACAAATTAGAAGAATATTAAGGGCGATCTTCAAGAAAGGGTCAAAATGAAGATAAATGGAAATAAATTGTAAAGAGGTTTTCTAAACTTTTCATTCTTTTGCAATTCCACTCAAAACTAAGCATTTTATGACGTCAAAAGATAAAAATAATAAAAGAAAACCTTTACTCAATGCCTTTTAATTTTTCGACTAAGCACTCGGGAATATCAAGCATGTGCTTTTAAGCTCAAACGATCGTTAATAGGCGCAGAAATTTGTGCCAACAATCGTAGACTAATAAAGCCTGCAGTCAGTGCGCAATTTAAACCAAATTTCTGCAAGATAGCGGCTTTAATCTAGTCTTTTCTTCAATTCCAATTGTCGCGGGTATGATTGATAGAGAATAATGCGATATCCAGTAAACAGAAGAATATTAATGCGAAAAAAACAAACAAATATCAAATAACATTTCAATAAAAATTATTCACTTAAATTTTCTTAAAGCGAATCAGATCACGTGGCAATTGAAAGAAAAATAAAATATTAATCCTTGAAAGTAATTTGATTCAGTTTTCTGATTGATAGCATACAATGATTGTTTTTGATACTTAAGATAGAGATTCAAAATTCCACGAACGTTTGTCATCGTTTGTGAGAAGTATTCCTATACACTAACCATGATCAAGATCATAATAATAATAATAATAATAATAATGTTTATTAGCATTAAAGATTGGTTTCCTTATTTTTTAGTGTCAAATTAAGCAAACTACTTGATGAATTGGTTTTTCGATTGAATTATCATGTATTCTTAACCATATCATTATGCTCTTATTGTATATTGAGAGTTTTAACCAATCATAAATGTCCATGTATGTACAGTCTGGATAAACAAAAAAAGGACTTTTTGACCTTTCTTGATCGGTCACTCTTCGGAATTCTGCTGATAATTTTCTTAATTTAGCTAATTATGAATTAATTATGGACATGTGAGGCAAACTGGTATTTTCCCAAGTCATTAGAACACCTCTACTTTCTATTCATATAAGTATTAGCATTTTCATTTTCATAAATGAAATAAGGGAACCCATCTTTAAGTACATAGATACTTTAAAGCTATATAAATGAACATAACTGTAACATGATGTAAGATAAAGAAATAAGTAACATAAACTATAAATTAAATGATAATTTACAATATTTTCAACCTGATATTAAGTGTTTTGAAGGTGAGTTTCAAGTTGTATGAAAGTTAAAGAGATGTCAAATTTTTCAGTAGTTTTTGATTATCAGGTTTATAAATTTTTCTATACATGGATAATGTGTCATAACATTCAGGTAATTTTATACTTTCATATTCATTAACAATCATTCGACGGAACTCCTGGAAAAGGTCAAGATTTTCTCAAACTATTCGTCAATTTCCTCAAAAAATGATGGATTTAGGAAATTTAATGAAATGAATTTAATTTTTCTAGTTTCTTATTCAAACTTAAATTATAAATAGTTAGGACAAGTTATAGTGTGAGCCGAGAGCAAATTTTGTTAAAAAAAATGACATTCCAATCGCTCAAGTCGACGACAAGGTCACGTTTTTGTTAGAAAATAAACAAAATAGACATGAATGACTGTCACTCACGTCGACTAAATCCAGAAATAGATCAGATTCTCTCAGATGCCCTCTGTTGCTGAAAGTCGTCGAAGATACAGTTGCTCAGAAAGCAAGTAGCAAAATCGACTTGAGTGCAAAAGACATAGTGCACATCTATGGCGCATAAATAAAATTCTCGAACAAGTCCATTCGAGCTTGATCGCTATATCCAGTAAACAAAACGGCTATCTGTAAAACAACCACAAAAGTTACTGAAAGACTTACCTTTACTCTTCACCTCGCTTACTTGATTTCAAATCTACTGATGATACAAAGTTAATGTTAAGTTATATCTGGAATTACTGTAGGTGGATACACAATTCTTAGTGGGTGTCGTCTACTTCCAAACAACTAATAACAATAAATATTAATATTTTAACAAAACATTAAATTATTGTCAAATTATTGGTTTGGGGTCTTGAAAAAAAAAATCGTATGGAAACTTCCATTCAACGCCTTGTAGAATGGTAATAAATATAAATATTTTCTATTCAACATCATTTAAACTAATCATGTGTTGCTCCCCGGGGACCTACCATGAACCTTAGGCTACTAGCTGTCTATTGGCTGGGATTCCCTTTCTAGAAAATTAACTTTTCAAATTTCCGATATTTCAACACTCCAAAATGGTATGACATCGCTCGAGGTAATGATCACAGATTATGTACGCATTTTTTTTACTTAAAGTTGTAAAATACATACAACAATCTGCAAGCTTACCAGACATATGCTAATATGCCAAAGCGGTTAAGCCTTCTTAAATATTGGCCAAGAACATAAAAATATTTGAGCAAAGAATAAATAAGTTGGCCCAAAAAGATATTTGAAATAAAAGGGATAAAAGTATTTATCTAATTTACTTGTCAATGGCAGCGCTCTATAAAGGACTGTTTGTCTTCATATCATAACTTACCCATCAAAAGTCAACTTCGTCGATGACAGCCCATTCTGATCATAAAAGACTGTTTGCGAACCCAGTGATGTCCTCTGTATCTTTAATCATCCATGTTTGTGCACATGATCTGTAACAATGTCCACCGGTTTATATTTAATTCACCCAATTCTTCAAGGACTAAATTTCTAAAAAAATATGATCTTCAATTATGGTTTGAAGCACTTATTTACTAACGACTGTTAGTACATCTACGATCAATGGTGGTTCATTGCTATCGGATTGAAACGAATTCGTCTTGGGGCTTAAACTTTGGCAAATAATCTTGGTGTTTGGATTTCAGATCCACCTAAGATCCAATAAGGAGATATAATAATGTATTATTTATTTCCGTGGAATATTGGTTATTGCTTACCAAATATTTTCGTTTAAACATTTGACATTGAACCACAACAGCAAATAGCGTGGGTACGTCAACAGTTTGTAATGGGCAAATTGAAAATTCATGTTCAGTACGCAGTATTTCGTTAATCGAATTCCATTGTCTTCAACAATAATTAATGGAAATTTGGAAGACATAAATATGCACGATGCTGTACACCCTCGGGAAAACTATTATGTTCATTAAAGAGACAGATTCGCTAATCGCACATTAATCTTAGGTACAAGTATTATAAGAGCTTAGCTAATCAGTAAACGTCGAAACTTTAGCCTTCAAATCCCTGTGTGTCCAGAATGATCTGCATTGAAAGTCAAAATGACAACTCGTCTTTTCTGAGATTCTGCTATAGAACAATATATGGTAATTAAACAAATTTGATCGGAGTACATGTACTAACATGCATGACAATGCAAGAGAAATTGCTTGTTGTTGCATTATAGGCTAAAATTACACTAAGAAGCTGAAGAGGAAATCAAAATTGTTATATTACCTGAGAGTGAAGCGTTTCATTGCAAATCTGAGATCAGATAACTTGTGTGGGAAATTAATCTGTCAAATGTTTAAATGCAAACCTGAGATAAGATAACCTGCGGTGGAGATGAAACTGATAACTTACGGGAGATATCATTCTGGGAAACGTTTCACTACAAACCAGAGTTCAGATAACTCGCAAGAGAAATTATTCTGTAAAATATTTCATTGCAAACCGGGGGTCAGATAACCAACGGGGACAATAATCTGTAAAATGTTTCATTGCATACATTGCAGGTCAGATAACCTGAGGGGGAGATGATTCTTGCAATTTTTCAATGCGAATCTGAGGCCAGATAAGCTACAGGGAAAATAATCTGTAAAATGTTTCATTGCAAACCAGAGGTCAGATAACCTACTGGGAAAATAATCTGTATAATGTTTCATTGTAAACCGGAGGTCAGATAACCTGCAGGGAAAATAATCTGTAAAATGTTTCATTGCAAACCGGAGGTCAGATAACCTACGGGGAAAATAGTCTGTAAAATGTTTCATTGTAAACCGGAGGTCAGATAACCTGCAGGGAAATAATCTGTAAAATTTTTCATTGCGAACCGGAGGTCAGATAACCTACTGGGAAAATAGTCTGTAAAATGTTTCATTGTAAACCAGAGGTCAGATAACCTGCAGGGAAAATAATCTGTAAACGTTTCACTGCAAACCAGAGGTCAGGTAACTTACGGGGAAAATAGTCTGTAAAATATTTCATTGCAAACCTGAGGTCAGATAACCTGCGGGGAAAATAATCTGTATAATGTTTCATTGTAAACCGGAGGTCAGATAACCTGCAGGGAAAATAATCTGTAAAATGTTTCATTGCAAACCGGAGGTCAGATAACCTACGGGGAAAATAGTCTGTAAAATGTTTCATTGTAAACCGGAGGTCAGATAACCTGCAGGGAAAATAATCTGTAAAAGTTTTCATTGCGAACCGGAGGTCAGATAACCTACGGGGAAAATAGTCTGTAAAATGTTTCATTGTAAACCGGAGGTCAGATAACCTGCAGGGAAAATAATCTGTAAAATGTTTCATTGCAAACCAGAGGTCAGAAAACCTGCGCGGAAAATAGTCTGTAAAATATTTCATTGCAAACCAGAGGTCAGATAACCTACGGGGAAAATAGTCTGTAAAATATTTCATTGTAAACCAGAGGTCAGATAACCTACGGGGAAAATAATCTGTAAAATTTTTCATTGCTAACCAGAGGTCAGATAACCTACGGGGAAAATAGTCTGTAAAATATTTCATTGCAAACCTGAGGTCAGATAACATGCGGGGAAAATAATCTGTAAAATGTTTCATTGCATACCTGAGGTCAGAAAACCTGCGGGGAAAATAATCTGTAAAATGTTTCATTGCATACCTGAAGTCGGATAACCTGCGGTGAAATGATATCAGATGCAAAAATCTCTGCGCATAATTGAGGTCAGATAATCTGCAGGGAAAATAATCTGTAAAATGTTTTATTGCATACCCGAGTTCAGATAACCTGCGGAGAAAATAATCTGTAAAATTATCTTAAGATTTACAACTGAAGAAAAGGTGGTGATGAATTCTTCCATAAATATTTTTTGTTGGGTTGGGATGACATTTTTGCTCATTATGATAATACTATGATAGGAATAGCATTGCTTTATTTTTCGTGTTATTTCCAACAGACAATGCTAATAAACAACTCAGATAAAACAACTCAGACATAATGAATATTCCACTTTATAAATATCAAAATAATAACAAAGATACAATGGGATATAGACAATATCGTTTTAAAGGGACACCAAAGATCTTTTCTAGCCTTTACGTGTCTATCGGGGTCACTTAAAGTTTCTATTTACTCCATTCACATTCCCTGCTGTGATGTCACTATCGCAAATATCACTCACCCTTCGTCGGTATCTAGCCTCAGACGCCTTGTCCATTCGGTATTCTTCGGCAGTTTCCGTAAATCCGAATCTGTAAAATGTAGAGCGGTAGACAGTCTGAGCTACCAGTCATTTACGGTAGTTCGAAATAGACCAAGTAGCGTCGGCGACACGCAAAGGCCAAACCATAGAAATCTTTTTGGAATCCCTTTAAAATTCTTTGTGAGAAATGATGCATAGGGAATTGAAAAAACTCATTGTTAAATTAATTCCAATTACTTTGATTACCATCCACTGGCTATAATCATTCCATTATAGATAATCAAACATTTATATTAATATCATCATTAATTGATAATATCAACATGATATATCCACATTAAGCAATCCCTACTCAATATATCTAATTGTCTAATGAAACTTTTGGAAACATTTTATATTGTCAATATTGAAAAAATATCTAATCATATATTAACTCTTTTACTGAAATTTAAGTACATCAAGTCTAGTTTTATGTTTACCTGGACTTAGAATTAGATTAATAGA